TATGGCGCTTTCCATACTTCTCCCATTTCGTGGATTTCAATCAATCCACTCTATGGCACTGAAGTTCCCCAACCGAAGGGGAACGTTCGAGGTTACAGAAGTAACCCTTCGTTCCCCGAGGAGGGGAACGGAAGTGCCATACTCCGGCGCCATAATGACTGTCCCTTAGCTGTTTGAAAGTCTCTTCAGCTTAAAAGGATAGCGTCTGCTGGCTTCAGGTGCGCTTATATGCTGGGATAATTGCCGATGCCGCACACCTGCGCAAGCTTACGCTGCCAATTAATTTCATTCATTGGCCCGTTCAATACTCTCCAGACAAGCGGCTTCTGATCCGAATCCTCCCATTTCGTGGATTTCAATCAATCCACTCTATGGCACTTCCGTTCCCCTCCTCGGGGAACGAAGGGTTACTTCTGTAACCTCGAACGTTTTTGTGATGCAGCAAGCCCAGAGATCGTTGTGTACACCATGACTTTATATAAAATCCACTTTAATGTGTGATATGAATAAAAAGTGATCATAAACGGCTTGGACCTGGAAATAGTATTACATACGTCACTAACACGTCACCATTTAACAAGAGGATTGTAACAAAATAGCTCAATTCATGGTAATTACCCTATATATATGTGCTTTTTTTAAAACTATATATACTAGTTGAAATTGATGATATAGATAACAGTATAATATTCTAACAGAAGTGTTTTTCATAAAAGTCAACAGGTAATTATAAAAATAATATTGTAAGAGTTTAAAAAATCTGTCAAGAAAACCTTAATTTCAGACCATGTGAAGTGTAAATTTATAATTTTTGTATGTATATTGCTGAACTTCTGCAGTTTATTGTAACAATAACAGTCAATTTTTGGTGCTAATTTATAACGTCATGTATTGTCCAGCTTCCTTAGTGTCAGTGTATTTATTATATAAGAATGTAATTTAATATAACAACCATTATAATGTTTACTACAGATATAAATGACACAAAACCAACAGGCTTACCTTCACGCACTACCATGCAACAACACACCATCATCACTACTCCGGGTAAGACTGTATTAACATTAAGTTAAATTTTTTTATTAATTTGTATATTGTTTAAAAGAACTTTTTTTCTTCATGTAATCATTATCTTTATTGTCATTAGCGTATTAGATTTTTGAGTTTTAGTTTGCTAAAATATATTTGGATACTGTCGAGTGTATGCATTTTGTTGTTATAATACAATTAAATTTAAGGACTACTTTTTTTAAAAAAAGGAATAAAATCTAGTATTACTTCGTGTCATCAAAAATTTCCCTCAAAATTCTTTGAATGGATTCATTAATCCATTTTAGGTTATAATACTGAAAATATCAACAAGGCAAACACACCAACCTCACCTCCACGCACCTTGCAACAACAAAACACAAATAAAACTTCAAGTACAGTATTTTTATAATAATTTTATTTCCGAAGCTTCATGGTGGTTCAGTGGGTAGCACAATCGCCTTACAGCAAGAGGGTTGCTGGTTCAAGCCTTGGCTGAGGCTGTTGGCATTTCTGTGTGGAGTTTGCATGTTCTCCCCATGTTGGCGTGGGTTTCCTCCAGGTGCCTCGGTTCCCCCACAGTCCAAAGACGTGCACTAGGTGAATTGAATAAGCTAAATGTGTGTGAATGCAAGAGCGCATAGGTGTTTCCCAGTGTTGGGCTGGGTTGCTGGAAGGGCATCCATTGCATACGCTAGCGGTTCATTCTGCTGTGGCGACCTCTGATTTATAAAGGCAGAAAAAGCTGAAAAAAATATAAATGAATAATTTTATATCCCATACTAGATTGTATAAAAGTATGCATGAGAGCAACATGTAAATAATTCTAATCACTATTACCATTTGGGGATAGTAAAAAAACTTACCAGACAAGCACATAAATCTCACCTACAACATTATTTTATGGCCAAAATTAAGAAAATGACCCATTTATTTGATATAAGGGGAAGAAAAATGTACAAGTAAAAATTCACCAAAAAAAATACTATATATATATATATATATATATATATATATATATATATATATATATATATATATATATATATATATATATATATATATATATATATATATGATCAATTTGATTATTTGATCAAGTAATCATTTTGGGGGATGTTAAAATTTTATTTAACGGTAAACAACAACAAAACAGTACAGGTAACGGTGTATTTAAGTTTTTTAGTTTATTTTAGCCTTTCTGAATATAAAGTAATTAACAAGAAAAAAATTTGCTTTATTCCTTTATTATATAAAGATAATAAACAGACAAACATATTAACCTCACCTCCACACACCTCACAACAACAAAACACCAGCACTCCAGGTGACATAGCTGCAACCCGTTCCAGCTGCAACCCATCTCTGGGAAACATCCATACACACTCATTCACACTTATACACTACGGGCAATTTAGCCTACCCAACTCACCTGTACCGCATGTCTTTGGACTGTGGGGGAAACCGAAGCACCTGGAGGAAACCCACGCGAATGCATTGAGAACATGCAAACTCCACACAGAAATGCCAACTGACCCAGCCGAGACTTAAACCAGCGACCTTCTTGCTGTGAGGTGACAGCACTACCTACTGTGCCACTGCGTTGCAAGTTTACACACACACACACATATATATATATATATATATATATATATATATATATATATATATATATATATATATATATATATATATATATATATATATTAGGGATGCTCAAAATAATCGATTAACCGTTAACAGAAAGGGTGTGTTTGTAACCGATTAATACTATCAGTTAAACGATTAAAATTATTATTTTATATATTTTTAGTTTGGCTGCATAAGGGGCCGATTGAATGCGCCTTTGCGTTAAAAGGGGCATCTTTTGCACGCGGCTCATCCCAGAGCAGCAGTTTGTGTTGTCAAGACAACTACAGAGAACTTTTAAAGAGCCTGGTTTCCGCAACATTCATTATTCCATGGCGGGGAACAAAATGCATCCCGCCACGGCTACATACCCATTCAAAACATTCAGATATTGTTGTTGTTGTTTTTAATAGCGGATTATAAACACATCAAAACGTATTAAAAGGTAAGTGGATTATAACAGCGCAAACTTTTTTGTAACTGTATAGTGCTGTGCGCTATTGTTTAATCCTTTGGGGTTACGTGCTGACTGACTGACTGACAGGTGCGTGATGCGTGAGGCCAGCAAACACACAGAAGCTTTCAGTTAAGATGAACACAGTTTCTATAGTTATACTTTATTTATAGATAAATAAAGTATAACCGTTTCGCTTTACTTCAGGACGCATTATTGCCGCTTTGAAGGTCTAATCGCTGTTTTAAGTTATCCAGAGCTGTATTAATGTACAAATCTTGAATATAATAATATTATTAAATATTACAATTTTATCAACATATACAGCAACACTTTTGCACAATAGATACCCAGCTGATTCAGTCGTTTCATAAGAGGACCGCGCTTCTTCTCTTCTTTTTTCCTTGTCAACATAAAGGCAGTGAGGTGCGCCTCGCGTTTTTGGAATGAAAAAAAAGCACGTTAACTGTGGTCGGCAACTTGTTCAACTGCAAGACATACTTATATTGCGGGACGATAACGTATAACGCGTGCCTACAGACACATTTGCCAAAGAAGCAAAATGGAAGAAGAATATTGCTTGAAACATACGTGTTGATGCCAATAAAAGCGCTGATGTTGACTTGGATCTGCGTAATAAACGCAACAAATAGGCTTTACCTTTTATTTTACAGCTTATAAAGCATGTATGCACATTAATGCAATATCATATTTAAACAACAAAACTGTTTACAAAAAGTCAACATATGCGCGCGTGTTGTTGTTGTCTTTTCATCATCAAGCAGCGCGCGCACTTGAGCCGCGATGGAGAGAAAGGAAACCACGTCAAGACATAATCTTTAAAATAATGATTTCTATTAAAAATGTAAAAGGTTTTGTGATTATAATAATACAAGCGGGGCATTAAATTAATGCATATTTTCCGTGGAGCGAGCGATTTGAGGAAGTCTGCTATTTTATTTGACGGAAGACAAAAATATGATTGGAAAAAAACAGCCTATGCCGGTTATTAAAAATAATCAGTCAGTGTTTTCGATTTGTAATATAAATTAATTATTTAAGTGGAAAATAATTTAGGGCAGTCCTATTTATTTTATTCATTTTATTTAGTTTATTCTGTTCTTCTGTGCTAAACACTGCAGGTGCGTGAAAATGCTCTGTTGTATTGTTCTTGTATTAATATGCTAGCATATAAAAATAAATCAGTATTTTAAAATGGAAAAAATAAGTACCACTTGACAATTCCCTAGATTTCTCTTTATAGTTTTTCTAGATTTATGATTTGTAGTTTTAGATGTTTTAAATTAAAATACATTTTCAGTGTAGACATCTCATTATATTTTTTCCAAATATAAAGAATATATATAAAATTTTTTTTAGGGGATTTGAAATAATCGTAATGTTTGTTACTCTAGCACACTCTCTATTATCAAAAACATGAAGACAAAATTTTAATTAGAAATTTGGAAGAAATGTAATGAGACCTTATAGAATAAAACATATCTAATAAATACAGTAATATTCCCATATGGAAACTGAGAACTGTGGTCTCTCTTTTCATATGTAGAACATAAAAACTCACTCTCGTCACTTTAGACGTAATGTTGTACATCGGATGGGTAATCTTTGAGAGTTACATAACGTGATGAATGATATCAGCTAATAAGGTAATCTGTGGTCTGGTAATCCAGTTATTTTAACTCTTCTGTTGTTAACTAGCAAATGAAACCAGCTCAACTCCAAACCCCACATCCATGCACTCCATACCCACAGTCACCACCACCAGTATGGGTAAAGTCACATCATTTGTGCTCTCTGTATAAATGATTGATCATGACAAAAAGGTTCAATTCCTGATGACTAACCTATAAATATGTACTTTTCCCAGGTACCACAGAAAACCAAGAGAAATGTGAGTATTGAACTTGTTGTGTGAAGTCAGCTCTGTTTCTGTTGTTCAGTATCTATACCTATCAATTTGTCAATGTTCATTTGCACTTACAGGTCGGTACAACATAATATGGAATGAGAATGAAGCAATAATCAATGTGTCTTCAATCAACGATAAAACAAGTGACCATAAAAACCAAAAGTACAGAATAGAGTTAAAGCAAAACAATGAGACAATCAGCAATGGACGTTCTCCCCTCACAATACCACTGAAAAAAGTAGAACCATGCACTAACTACACTATCCACGTTGACAACTGTTCTTTGCAAGAAAAAAACTCTTTTCATTTTAATGGTGAGTCATTTACAGCCAGAAATTACTATGTGTTTTTGCCAAATTCAAAAGTAATATGAAGCCAAGTCCTTCCTGCTATGAAGCATGGCTAATAAAGTTTTGATGTAATAGTTTTAAACTGATGTAGTAGTTAGTTTTTTAAACTGATGTAAACCAGGAATGTAATGTCTGCTTTTGTGTAAATAACATTGGTAACACTTTACAATAAGGTTCCATTTGCTATATATATATATATATATATATATATATATATATATATATATATATATATATATATATGTGTGTGTGTGTGTGTGTGTGTGTGTGTGTGTGTGTGTGTGTGTGTGTGTGTGTGTGTGTATTTATTCATCTTTGCTAATGTGAGTTAATAAAAATACATTGTTAGTCCTATTAGCTCATAGTGATTAGTCAACCAGCAAAATTTAACTGTTATTTGGCCTTTATGGAATAAAACACTTTGCTAAAAAACAGCAAATCCAGTTTTTTATTTTAATTTTAATATTACATTAGTAGTGGAGAAGCAGTGGCGCAGTAGGTAGTGCTGTCGCCTCACAGCAAGAAGGTCGCTGGGTTGCTGGTTCGAACCTCGGCTCAGTTGGCATTTGTTCCCCTGTGTTTTAGTGTTTGTGTGTATGTTTCCCAGAGATGGGTTGTGGCTGGAAGGGCATCCGCTGCATAAAAACGTGCTGGATAAGTTGGCGGTTCTTTCTGCTGTGGCGACCCCAAATTAATTAAGGGACTAAGCCGACAAGAAAATTAATGAATAATACATTAGTACATTTTATAGAAAGTATTGCTTGGTCTTAGTTCATGTTAGTAAATTCATTATCTAACCAATGGAACCTTTTTTTGAAGTGTGACCATGATTTCTTTGTTTTTAGCAACTGAAAGTAAAATCCATACTGCAAAACTTCATGGGGATGACCAAGTGTGTGTTGAAGATGGCACATGGAATTTGACAAAATGTGTCAATATAGAAACCAAAGACTCCTGCCTTCAGAGCCCAATTGTCTTTATCCAAAGTGAATGCACCTACACAATAAAAATCCACATGCCTCCTTGTAAGTATTTGATAAAGATAAATAAAACAAGAGGGTGTGTCATTTTTGTTTGGCTTCAAGAGGGTTTGTTACAGTGCGTTACTATAATTTTACAATTAATGTATTAAGATAAACATTGTTGATGTATTTATTTGATAATTCTGATTACAAATCATTTGTGAAAAATGAATTTATGAAAATGTATTGACTTTATAAAAAATGCATTGCTATATCAATAGAAAGCACAATAACAGATATTTCCATCCTTTTTTCCAGTAAAACCTGAAATACAGTACAACGAAACAATTCCAACTAAGTTTGTGTGGGAAAATAAACCCAAAGAGTGTAATGAAAGCAACTTTAACGTCCATTGTGATAAGGAAAGTAAGTAACTGCAATGCTTATGAATATATTTTATGTAAATGAATCATGTATTTTCTTAATCATGTTCATGATGATGCATAACCACTGGTTTTGTGGAATATTAAGTTCTTTCTGCTTAGTTTCAGGCTTTAAAGTGAATCAGGATGTGTATTTAATACCTTCCAAAAAGTACAACTGCATCGGAAAATATGAATTTAATGATACCATCTCTGAAAGCAACAACACAGAAATTACTATCAGTTGCGGTGAGTTGTTGACCAGTATGGATCCTCAAAGTCTCACACCTAGACATTTTCTAATATATTATAGTTATAAGATGATTTTGCAATATATCAGTTAAAATAATAATATTAATAATAATAATTGTTGATTAATAATTGATTGCATTTTAGTTTTATTATTTTTTTAATAATTGATTACTTTTGATCCTTAGATTTTTAGAAAATTCCTTTAGGAAACACTTCTGTAACATATTTCTTAATATATAATGTATTTCTTATATATAAAGAATTGTTAAAACTGATATTTAAGTTTTTCTTCAGGTCATATTTGATATTACAGTTTATATCAATATTGCTTTGGTACATTTATCAGATTAGAATTGAAATTTGCCAAACAGTAAGTACATTTCTCAAAACAAAACAACGCGCACAAATAGCAAAACACCATAGATAACCCGCAAACCCAGTCTCGTGCTCAAAATCCTAAGTTCATCTCTCAAAACAAAATTTTTGTGTCAATGAACAGGTCATTACAACAAGTCTTTGAGTCATTGCATATGGATAAGACAAAATACTCATGTTGTCAACTTGTCAATACATCGTGTACTCTGGAGGGCTGTACCAATGTGAACTATAGCTAATTTTTTTGCTGTTTGCGCTGTAATTTGTTGACAAATCATGTCGTTGTGATACAGAAATCAAAAGACAGTACTGCATAGCATAAAGAAAAAACAAAACACAAGTAGAAATGTGAACATAGAACAAACTCCTCTGAGATGCACCTTCATTAAAAAAGTCAAGACTCACATGGAAGAAATTTACCAATTGAAAGATTTAGAAAACAAAGTCGGTTACACTTTATAATAACTACACACTATGAACCATTTATTAAGCAGGAGTTAATAGTGATTTCATTATCTGTTAAACATTTACTCTACGTTAATAAAAGTTAGTAAGCAGTTTATAACTGCAGCAACAATTATTATTGACTTATAACCACATTTATAATGTGCTTAATAATTGTACTTTCATACTTTGTTAATGATTTATTTTTCATTACTAAATTAAGTATTGCATTAATTAAAAACCTGTCATATAAGCATAGTTGATTATAATTACTATTATTAATTTTTTTGGTTATTCAGAATGAGTTAGTAAATGATTATTAAACTATTTAAATTATCATTTATAATTATTTTTATACAGGCATATATTAATAATTAATTTGTATGTTAATAAATGCTTAATTAACTCAACATCATCCAGTTTTGGGACCTAATCTAAAGTGAGGGCTATTTATGGTTTATAAATCCCTTATAAATAACAATTAAAGGGTCAGTTAAATTCTAAACAGGAAAAGTACATAAACATTATTCAATCCTATTCGTTTGAAGATCCACAAATAAAATGAAAAATAAACCTTTGCAACCTTATCTGAAATAAAATTACTGTACAGTTTAAACATTGCATGCTATTATTTTGTTAAATTATTATATTGTTGTTTTATCCAATGTTATGGCGTATTTTGACGCTATTCAGCAATGTTTAAACTTTACAGTAATTTGATTACTAAGCCTTTAATTGTCATTTGTAAAGAATTTATAAAGCATAAATAGTCCTTACTTTAGATTCACAAAAACAGGTCACAAAACTGCATGAAGTTGAGTTAATAAAGCATTTATTAACATACATAGTAACCATTACTGTATGCCTGAACAATAATATATATAAACGTTGATTTGAATAGTTTACCAATCATTTCCTAACACATTCTGAATTATCTTAAAAACCACCAACTACTCTTAAATACAACTGGTTTGTAAATAATGCAATATTTAATTTAGTAATGAAAAATAAATTATTAACAAAGTATGAAAATACAATTATTAAACTAATTATAAATATGGTTGTTAGTCAATAATACAGCATTTGTAGCTGCAGTTATAAACTGCTTAGTGATGTTTGTTAATCTAGTGTTAATGCTTAAGAACTGATAAATTTACTAGATGCTAATGCTTAATAAATAATTCATAGTGTGTAGTTACCATAAAGTGTTATTGAATAGTGTGTAGTTACCATAAAGAAAAATGCATTATGATGAAATGCAGTGACTTCTTATGTAGTTTGTGAACCAGCTTATAAGTTCATGCCGCCACCCACTGTGATGGAGGTGTATAGTAACCAACCAGAGGGAGTTTTTCATATGGAGGCTTTAAAGGTGCAGTAGGTGATTGTCTTCAGAAACATTTTTTGTTGTGCTGGTTGAACGTCTCTTCAAAGTCTATTCAATAGTAATGATTAAAGTAAATTATCTAAATGTATTTATATGTATTTTTATATTCTGGGTAAGGCATAAAACTAAAAAATGTTCATCCAGTTAAATGGAGTCGGACCGACATCCCTCATAATTCCGATAAGTAACTCAAACGGTCAGTCAACAAATGCAGATTTTGGGCTTTTGCGCATTTCAGTTCACTTATATCCGCTATTAGCGTGTGCATGCCTGCTGCGCGTGCACGCCTAGATGAGTAACACGTGCACGCGAGACTGTAAGTTGCGGCAAAATCAAATGCTGAATTGAAAGTTTTTAAACTCCTGAATCAGTATTGGAGTTACTTTTGCAGGCTGGACGAAGGACGACACCACACCATGGCTGAAGTATTTCTGTTAGAGAGGTAATTTTCTGTTTTAAAACTATATTAGTCATTATAGTCATTAGTCATATTGTTCAGCCACTGAAATCTCCCGGTGGAAGCTAGATGTGACTATTTTTATTTTCTTAAAGGAGCTTTTACAGCACTGATGATGTAGATTTATATTCAGTTTAACAACAAAACATCAGTAAATATCGCTATTCCACCTAGCCTGCTTGCTGAGCTGAAGTTGCTTTTATATTCACATTAGGTCATTTCTGAAGAATGACAGCCTGTGACGCGCTGCCATTGTTTACCGCTACTCTGAATATTCAGTCTAAAATAGCATGTGAGTGTGGTTTAGTAATAAGTGGAATTCCTGCACACCGCCCGGCCAACCACTTCATACACTTCTAACTGCCGAATGAACTGCGTTGTCTGCTGTTGTGTCGCGGTGATCGCGCTCGTGATTTCAAGAGGCGTGGCTTTGAAACACAGTCTTTTCCCTGCCATCCAAAGGTAATATGCTATCCGATTAGCATTTTGGCAGATCACCTACTGCACCTTTAAATCTCATTGAATCAACAAGTTCTCATTTAATTAATTTGATTATTTCTTTATTTAGTTTCAAACAACTAGAATGAATCATTTAACACAACTAAACTCATTCCATTCTGCTGCATTAGACATATTTGTACTTTGCAAATTGAGCATGTGGAAAACTTTTTTTTTTACAAAGATAAAATAATAAACGAATTAAATGTCCTGCCAAAGATACACTTTTATTAGTTTTTCATGATAAAAAAAGTGTTATGTCATTTTAAATTTGGGAAACTTTTAACCTAACTTTTTTCCTTTTTCCTTTACAGATTGGAAAAATGAGACTTACATTCAGAATTTAACTAGCAGCTCATTTGAGATTGTATGGACTCTGTCTCCAGAGGAAAAATGCCAAGGAATTAAATGGGAAGGTTTTTCAGGAATTTGTAATAATGTTGTGCAACGTAAGTAAAAAAATTAACCCATCTGTCTGACCTACTATTTAAAGTGCTATTAAAATTAATCAGCACTAATGTCTGTAAAACTTCAACAACTTTTATGGCTCAGGTTTACTAGTTTGCAGACTTAATTTGGTGGTTGCAAATGCAAAGGAGCATTAAGTTTATAGCAACAATCATAGACATTATTTTATTGACTGCTGAGATGTATGCATAAAATGTGTTAAATGTAAATAGAACAATTAACTTATTTATTGCCATTAGATATTTAACTTCCACAATATGTGAAACAAACAATGTAAAGTGTAAAGTGTTGCAAAGGGTGAACATAAAACATAGTGTTACATCCATTTTAAAACTTACAAACTACTTTTATGGTGTGTGTGGTGTTGTTCAGTATGAATTGTGATTGAAAAAAAAAAAACATTGTTGTTACTCAGTAATTTGATACTTTACTTTTGCAACTTTTTTTAGGTAAATGCCAATTGGTAAATGACACAACTGCAAACTGTGCATTCACGGATTTAAAACCATTCACTGACTACAGTTGCAGTCTTACAGCAAAGGTCAAAGAACTCGGACACTTTGATACATATAAAAGTTTTATTGAGGAAAAAACTAAGTCTTTCCGTAAGTGTAATTATTTCTACATAAATGTTTTAAAATTGTAACTTCAGTACATAATCTAGGTGTGTATTTTTTAAATCACTTAAACTTTGGGTCCCATTTTATATTAAGTGGCCTTAACTACTGGGTACTTACATCAAAAAATAAATACAAAGTACTCACTGTGTTTATAATGTATTGCAGAACACTTCTGGTGCTCATTAGGTGGGATACGGGTATAGGGTTAGGGACAGGTTTGGTGGTATGGGTAGGTTTAAGGGTGGGTAAGGTGTAAAAAAATGGTTAACAGAGTAATTATAAATGTAATTACACAGGCTGTTTCTCAATATGCATTCATCAGTGATCTTGCATCCTTGTGTTCTCATGTAACGTCATCATCAACAGCCTAAGTTCAGTTCCAAAACTTAAGACCGCAAGAACAGAAGACACATGAAAGTTCTCAGATACGTTATTGGTATCTAGGATGCATCAATGCAGACTTGAGCACCGTCGTTGCGACTGGAGATGGGAAGCGCAGCATTTGACACAGATTTTGACACAGATTTATTTTTAAAGTTCAGAGATATAACTTATTCACCACAGAAGTATCCCTAAATTAAACAGTGAAAGTTAACATTAACATAAAAAAAACCTTATAAAGGCATAAACACAATAAGGGTATTTATTTGCTGAAATTTGTATTAAAATATGTATTATTTGTATTGTGCAATGTGTATTTGTAAGGTCTTTATGCATAGTATATATTGTGAAAAGGGGAAAAACAATAAATTGTTGTATGAATGCTGTAATGTTTAAATAATTTAGCATTAAGAAGGTGTGAAGGTCATGTTACCAAGAGGAAGAACACAGCATCTCATTTCTCACAGGATGAGTTCTCTGTTCTCATAGTCACCCGAGTTTGTTCTTCCGAGGTGACCTGGCAAAATCACAAGTCCATTCTATGCATTCTTGGAATTGAGAAAAAGCCAGAAATTAATTACAGATTTAATTGCATGCAGTTACTGTATCTAATCAATTATAAGTACAATGTAAAAACGTTTGTTAACATAAAAAATACATTGCCACAAATGATTAATTTCAGTGTATGTACATATTAGTTAAGGCCACCTAATATAAAGAAGGATAGCTAATGCTGTTAATGACATTTTTTTCAATAGAAATGAAGTATTCACAGTGGTTACTTAGATCTGAAGAAATGTTTCATGGCACATTGTTATTTTAATCAATAATAATACAGTTTCAAGTTTCAGTTTTAAGTTGGTTTCTGAAATGTCATTGAGATCACATTAACTGATTTTTCTTTTTTCTTTATTTTAATAGATCCCATTTTTAATCAAACTAATCTCAATACAACAGATATCAATCAATTTTATTTAACTCGCAATTCTATTGTTGTGAAATGTAAGAAGAAATTGGAAACACCTGACTGGAATGGACAAGTGGGATATTATATAGCCATACTCCTCAATAATGGAAAAACAGAACAAAACATAACGAATAGAACGTCCTGTACATTTTTGTTTGAAAATCTATCCTACCACACAAACTATATCATTAAGGTATTTGTTTTTTGCAGTAACCCTAGTGTCATAATAGTGTTTAGCTTTGTGTTTCACAATATTTATTTATCGCTTTCAGATTACAGCCAGGAACAAAGAGGGAAATGAGACCACTATTTCAGCTTCCATATCCACTAGCTGTAAGATGAACTCTTTCTTGATTTAAAAGTCAAACCCACTACATAAAAAAAATGTTACAAATATAATAATAGTCCTGAATCTGGAGTTTTGCATTTCTTTCTCAGATAATGAAAAGGCTGTAATCGGATTCTTGGCGTTTCTCATCATAGTCACTTCAGTTGCTCTCCTTTTTGTGTTGTACAAAATTTTCCTGCTCAAAAGAAAACGGTTTGTTTGTCAAACTTTTTTAAAAAAATTTAATTTAAACATTATTATTGTATTAACACAAGCGTAGTGCTTATTTCTGATGTAATGTCTGGCCGCAGGACTCCTGAGGAAGATGAGATTTGTCTTACACGTATGTCATTTGCTCTGTCAAAATCAGTTTGTTTTGATAGTGTGTGGATTTCTGAACAACATTTTTTGTCCTCTTCTAGAGCCCCTGCGCAGGGTTGAGCCCATCTATCCAGATGGTTTAATTGATGCTTATAGGACCAAGATCGCTGATGAGAGCCGACTGTTTATGGATGAGTTTCAGGTGATTCTCTATACTAGGAGTTTTCAATGTTTTTAATTCTACAGTCCCCAAATGAGACCCTTAAGGGAAAAGATATAAATATATACTGTGAAACTGAAAATTATACATACATGTAGCTCTAAAATATTATTTGGAAAATATCTAATACATAGGTTTTTTTATATTAGTTCTACAAACTACTTATGATCTTTATTGATATTTAATCTAATATTGTATTTCTACTTTATTATACTGATGTTTAATATGTTATTTTAAAATTGAAAAACAATATGAAAGTAAAGATCTGTGTTATTATAACAAACTGTAAAAAAACACTGGGCTCCACACAACTCCTTCATGTTATACAAATAATTTAAGTTAACATAATTGTCAGAATTATTAGCCCCACTGAATTATTAGCCACGTTTATTTTTCCCCCAAATTTCTGTTTAACGGAGAGAATATTTTTTCAACACATTTCTAAACATAATAGTTTTAATAACTAATTTCTAATAACTGATTTATTTTATCTTTTCCATGATGACAGTAAATAATATTTGACTAGATATTTTTCAAGACACTTTTATACAGCTTAAAGGCTTATTTAAAGGCTTAACTAGGTTAATTAGGTTAACTAGGCAGGTTAGGTTAGTTAGGCAAGTTATTGTATAATGATGGTTTGTTCTGTAGACTATTGAAAAATATATAGCTTAAAGGGAATAATAATTTTGAACTTAAAATGTTTTTTGAAAATTAACAACTGATTTTATTATTGCCAAAATAAAACAAATAAGACTTTTCCAGAAGAAAAAAATAGTGCAGATTTTAATTTCTTAACTCTTCTGTGGTATCGTGTTGCCTAAAAATCAAGAGAAACATTGTTTTATATTGTTTTAATCTATGGTTTGCAGAATCTAAGAATCCTTGATTTTAATATTTATTAACTTAATAAATAACTTGTATTCGTTTGTTTAAACTAAACAATACTGGGTACCACACAAGTAATTTGTAATTTTTGGGGGCCAACATGAAGTAATTTCAAGAATTCACATTTAGATATTGATTGATAATGTTAGTAGGTTTGGCATGTTATCCCGGAAGAAACACTGAGCTTGGAGACTCCTGCCTAGTCGATGAGCATGTAGCTCAAGTAGATCAAGTAGCTCTTGAAAGCTCTCTGAATTCGTTCGGCCTATTCCTTGATTATTAGGAGCAGCCCTAGAAGAATAGACTGACAACCACACCAGCGCATCCCCACACAGTGAAAGCTCAGTACCAAAGAGCTCATATACTGTTACTATTGATTTATTCAATTCACCTATGTCTCATGTCTTTGGACTGCAGGAATATTTATGTTGAGTTTGGAATGATCTGATTGCCGTGCTAATGATTACAGATAGGGGACCAGCCACGATCAATCATATCACATGCTCCTCTTGAAATTAGTTTGTGAAACTTCACTAAGTTAACTTATTATTTTTCACACATTTAAGTGGATTGTACATAAAACAATTAAGTTGTCCCCCCAAAAACCCTCAAGAATTGTGTTGTTTCAGCTCATTTTAAATTAATAGTTTGAACTAACTACTGGTGTGTAGTTGTGTATGGTTGAAGATGTGCAGATTATATTACATTTATTGAAATCAGATATTAAATTAAATTTTATTTAAAACAAGATTAAATTTTTGTTTTTTTTATCTCATTTAATTAATTCTTGTAGAAGTTATGTTTTAAATAATTGTTCTAATTATCAGAGTATTTTTATAACTTATTATATTTAGGACTTTCTCTAATACCAATTTATTTATTTATTCATGTTAATTATTATTTTTCTCTTTATTTATTTATTTGTTTCTTACTACTGAAAAAAAGCATGTTTTCTCCTCAGAGCATTCCCCGAATTTTCAACAATTACACCATCAAGGAGGCGAAGAGACCAGAAAACCAGTCCAAGAACCGCTATGTTGACATCCTGCCTTGTAAATATCACCTCAATATCCATAAACAGATCTGTTTACGCTGAGTTCCTTTTGCATTCTTCATAGTACATACTGTATTTCAGTCTGACAACAGCTTGTTTTGTGTATGAATTCGCAGATGATTATAATCGTGTTACTCTGTCATCTGGAAGCTATGGTGACTACATCAATGCCAGCTTTATTGAGGTACAACTCATATCATCTCTATATACCATGCTTGGTTTATATTATTTTATTCATTGTTGACATTAATTTAGGTCTTTTTAAAATGTATATTAAATACAAGTTGATATTATTTTATTATACTTACTGTAATTACATGATTTTTCAGTTGGTAAAACTTAATTATATATGTATCTAAAATTATAATATTTATAATTAACTTTTTTTTATTTCAACATATTTTTTTATCCATACAGGGTTATCAAGAGCCAAAGAAATACATTGCAGCCCAAGGTAAAAGTCTGACCTGTAATTAGTTTATCCACCTTTAAAGCAGCCTATGAATGCACACTTTTTGCCAATTATTCTAAATTATTGTTTCTGAACGATCATAAATTATAAGAGAACTGTTTTTATCAGCTGTTAAGATGATTAAAGCTGTGAATAATTAGAGTGTCAAAGTTCAATATTCTGTTGAATGTGTTGTTCAGGACCCAAGGATGAAACTATTGTTGATTTCTGGCAAATGATGTGGGAGCAGAAGTCATCCATTATTGTCATGGTCACCCGCTGTGAGGAAGGAAATAAGGTTTGTGCTTTGTTTGTTATTTTTCAATTATTTGTATATAGCTATGGATAAATTGACCACTTCAAAATTCATTTACAGTATTCATTTGTATACATTTTTCAACCTGATCTCACGAGGAAATGTTTTACGTTTATGTTTTATGTTTTACGTTTTGTCAGTTTAGTGGCTAATTTGTATAAACTTTCACAGGTTCAGTTGTACGAAAATGTATGGTTTTAAAAAGGAGGTGTGGTACCCAACCTCATCCCTAAACCCAGTTGTCATTAGGGGATAAGCAAATAGTACTAAATTGTATGAATGAGATGTACGAATTTATATGAATCAGCTACTAAAACATTAAGTTTCGAATTGATGTAAGATTGTGTGTTTTTTTTTCATACTATAAATATATGTCACATATATACTGTTTTTTTTTCATAAAAGGACAAATGGTCAGAAAAACACGTTTTAATTAATTATGACAAAACATCCACTAAACGTTGCTTTGTGAATTCTTCTGAAGTTATAAAACTTTGGTGTTTTGTTGTCTACGTTGAATATGCAGTAAACACGCCTGTACATTTTTTTTGCAAAAAATGTTTGACCAAATGTTATTGGTTGCAGAATAAAACAGAATTTCAGCACATTTCAGTCAAACACATAACTCTAAATGCAGAGAAACGTACATTCCCCATCTAGGAAACGAGACACTGCGTCTAACCAGAACGCTAGGGGATCACCTCTTTTATACGCGTCTTGAAGCACATGTAAAATCAATCTAATGTAATTAAGCAGGTGTCGTCAGACCAGAGAGTAAAAATGCCTGCACTGAGCATTCAGTGTTAACTTCTTTGCTTTCAAGAAGCACGCATGTGAAAATACACCCTCTTTCCGTGACCTTTCATTACTGCCTTGCATACACAAAATACAAAAAAACTGACAACCTACTTTTTTTGTTTTTTGAAATGGCAGAGAAAAACTTTAAACGTTGTGTGCCTCCATGTCCTCGTTTTATCACGGCTGGTGACTCACATGATTTGTGTTTAGAGTGTTTGGGAGAGGAGCATGCCCTGGCAGCATTTGAGAATGCTTACTGTGGACACTGTGACGCTCCCGCAAAGTGCTGCGTAGTCGGAGTTCTTTAATAAAGCTCCCATGGCTTGCGCTCCTTGCGGTTCAGGTCCCGCTCATGCTGAGGCTGAGAGTCGACTTCGGTCGTGGAGTTCGCAGCTAGATCTGGCAGATGAGATGGAGAAGGACTCTGTCCTTTCTCTTTCTGGATCCGTGAGATCTAATCCTCATTCGGGAGCGTCAGAAGCACGCTCTTTGGTTTCTTCTGCGCTGCAGCAGCAAACGCAAAAAGGGTCGGGGAATCTGCCGCCCCAGTCTGTGGAATATGAGGAGTTAGTGGAGGTGATTTCACGTGCTGCTGACAGGTTTGATGTAATAGACTGGCAGCCAGCACACGAGCAGCAGCAGCTGCATCTGACAGGAATGCTGGATGAGAGAGAATTACCCAGCAGAGTAGATCCTCCACTGAGGGACCTCCACTTTTGTCCCGAGCTACATGATACTGTATCTAAATCATGGAAAAATCTGTATTTAGCATGTTTAATGACACCAAAAACATGTACAAACATCTAGCTTTAAGAGCTACTAAAGAGGCAGCCTCTAGTTTGGGGCTGACGCAAGCAGAGGTGTCAGAAACCAATAGATCTATTTTTTTTGGAGGCTCCAATATCGAGCTCAGGGCTCTTCAGCAACGCAGTCGATCGCTTTGCCAAATCCTTTGACAGAGTTAAAAAAATTCTCAAGCTCCCTCGGGGACTTGCTCCCCAAGATCAAAAAGTCAAGGGGCTGTTAAAAGACAGCCCCAGCCATCAACCAGCTCCTCATATCGTGCGGTACAAAAGCAGGGCGTGGCTTCTCAGGCTCGCCCTCAGAAAAAAAGGGCACGCTCTCAGCTTGAGCATTCCTCAAAAATTCCCACAAGGACAATAGTAATTTCGAAAAAAGGGCGAAGGATAAAAGGAAGTCCTGACGTGTTGGAAGTCAGGCTTCCCAGGACCCCCCTGGACATCGAGAGCACCATTCGGCGCTTTCACTGAACTAGGGTCCGTGGAGAAAGGGACAGACCAGCTCATCACTTATGCTTATGAGGGGGGGGGGGTGTTCCTCAGTGTCTGAGGGCATTGGGGGCCCCACCCCCTCTTTGGGAAGTCCAAGAGCAACCCGAGGCCAGTCTCGAGAGGCTGGTACCCCTAGCACATTTTTTGGCAGCGTGGAAACGCCTGCCGATGGTGTCTCAGTGGGTCCTGTTCACGGTGGAACACCACTACAAAATACAGTTTTGTGCACGCCCAACTCACTTCAATGATATTACACCCACCATAGTGAAGCCAGAACAGGCTCTGGTTATGGAACAGGAAGTACTGGATCTATTTTAAAAAAGGCGCAATAGAGCGTGTTCTCCCACTCGGCAGAGAGTCACGGTTTTACAGCCTGTATTTTATAGTTCCCAAAAAGGATGGGGGACTGCGTCCCATATTAGATCTTAGAAATCTAAATCGGTCCGTCGGGCCCCTTTGTTTCAGGATGATAACCATCAAAACGTGGTGTCACAAATTCAGTCCGAGGACTGGTTTGTGACGATAAACCTGAAAGACGCATACTTCCATATATCCATCTTTCCCTAACACAGTAAGTACCTAAGGTTCGTTTTCGGGGGTGAAGCATTCCAGTATCGAATTCATCCATTCGGCCTAGCTCTGTCACCTCAAACCTTTACCAAAATAGTCGAAGCGGCACTAGCTCCACTTCGTGTGCAGGGTATACGTATCCTAAACTACTTAGACGATTGCCTAATTCTAGCTCAGTCTCACAACATGGCAGTTCGACATCGAGATGTCGTTCTCACCCATATCAGAAGGCTGGGGTTTCGGTTGAACACCGCAAAAAGTGTGCTTGTTCCAGCCAGGACAACCATTTTTTCAGGTGTGCTATGGAACTCTATGACGAAGCAAGCACGTCTGTCCCCGCAACGAATCACTTCAATTCAGTCAGTCGTACACAGAGTCAAACTACGCCAGTTCGTCACTGTGGAACACTTTCAGAAGTTGTTGGGTCTCATGGCAGCAGCAGCCAGCGTGAATCCGTTTGGTCTGCTGTACATGAGACCCCTGCAGTGGTGGCTCAAATCAAGGAGGTTTTCCCTCAAGGGAAATCATTTCCGCATGATCAAGGTCTCGAGGCGCTGCCTTCGAGCCTTAAAGGGTCACGAAACACCAAAACACATTTTTTGAGCTGTTGACAGTCGTATATGTGTCCCACACTGCTAAAAACACTATTAGGACACCTATATTTCACTAAAAAGTGTAAATTGGTTGTTTTTGCGTTATTTCAAGCAAATTCGTACTTCCGGTTTAAAACAAATTTTTGAAGCTGCATCACGGTCATGACATAATAGCGTGTATTCCAGCGTGCAGACTGGACGTCTGTGCCAGAGTGTGTCTTATTACGTCTTACAGTGTGCTGCATTAATACATGAGTAAGGCTTGGTTCAAACCAATCAGCGCGCTCTATTGTGCAACTTCATTAATATTATTAATATCACCGTGTTTACATGACAAAGACGCCACGTTGTGTTGGCAAAACAAGCGTGAAGTGTTACTTTTATAGTTTGCTGCAGTTAAGTTTCGTTTTCATTTTCTCTCTGTGAGAGCTCAGAGTCACGTGTGGATTAACAGTGTACACGAGGTAAAGGTAAGCTTTCTGACGCTACCTGCCGTGTGCATCTAAGTTTCCGGGAAACGCAGAGGGTTTTTATTCTCTCATTCGCCGTGCGGTATCAAACATTGCATGAAAAATACACGCTTAGAGCAGTTCCTCGAATCAAATATCCCGTTTGTCGCGAGGGGCATGAATGAATTCCCTGAATGAAAAAGCCAAACTGCAGTTAAAGTCCACCATTTAATAATTTGGCAAATAATTCGACTACAGATGTCCATGTAGGTTAAACACCATCACTTTCTACTGTGTGTTTGAATTTTGACTCTGAAACTCACGCGCGCCCAAATAGACACTCCTACACTATCCCACTTTAGTTCCTCCGACACTCCCCCCTAAACAGAGCTGGACACGCCCACTTTTCTGACCTTTTCCAAAGTAGAGGTGTGAAAACACCCTGCTGAAACGAGGGGGTTTCATGGCCCTTTAAGTATGTGGAAAATGCCCTGGTTCCTGTCCCAGGCCTAGTGTTGGGGGGTGTCTGTCATCGCGTCATGCTTATGACAGATGCTTCTCTAACGGGCAGGGGAGCAACCCTGAGATGATGCCTGGAGATGATGGCTATGTTTCTGGCCTTAAAACACTTTCTCCCAGATCTAAGGGACCATCATATTCTAGTCCGCAAGGACAACACATCAGTGGTCGCTTACATCAACCATCAGGGGGGTCTGAGGTCTCGAATGCTATGCAAACTAGCACATCGGTTCCTCCTGTGAGCCCAGAACAAAATTCTATCCATCAGAGCAATGTATGTCCCGGGCCATCTGAACATGGGAGCAATATCCTGTCGAGGCAGGGGGTGAGATCCGGGGAATGGAAACTTCACCCCGAGGTGGTGGAGACCATTTGGGAAAGATTCGGGAGAGCGCAGGTAGACCTGTTTGCCTCCCAAGAGACCACGCATTGCATACTGTGGTATTCTCTCTTGCATCCAGCCCCTCTGGGACTGGATGCCATGGTGCAGACATGGCCAAGGCTACGTCTGTATGCTTTTCCCTTGATTGCTCTGCTCCCAGGAGTCCTGGAGAGGGTCCGTCAAGACGGTGTCAAGTTACTGCAGTCACTAGGACAGGATGTTGAGCTATGAACCTACACTAGTCTCACGGTTCAGGTTCAGTTATGATTATCATGCCGTCGATTCGGTTCAATTCGATATTTCGGTGCATCACGGTGCATTGACGGTGCTTTCCATACACAGTTTTATATTTCTTCACAGCAGCATTTCTTGTATTAAT